AAAAAAAAAAAAAAAAAAAGAGAGAGAGAGAGAAAAAAAAGGCATCTGCATGATACAAAACATAATTTTATACATAAAGAATCACATATATGCTTAAAAAAATAAAGAACAAGGGGATAACATGTTACAGACATAGAGAATCATCGTACAGATTTTAAGCTTATAAGAAAAAAAGAAATAAGGGTTTCATACTTCATAGAAGAAGGGGTTTTTTGTTCCCTTACCTGGAGGCTGGAACGAGGAGTCGAGGCTTGGTTTTGGTCTTCTGGAGGTTGCATCAGCAACCAGTTGGAGTTGGAGTCTTATAGACTTGGAGGCTGAAGTTGGAGTTTGAGTATTGAGCAACCGAGCAAGTGAGCAATACCCACTTTTCATTTCAGGTTTCTCAGCCATCCTCAAACTCAGGTAAGAGCATACCCTCTTCCAAATTTTTTAAGAGTAGAGAAAAAAAAACTAGAGGTTGAACTTCCGCTGGAACCTGAAGTTGATGTTCAAGTTATGGGTTTCGCATATGTGATTTGTGAAGGAGCGAAGGTTGAAGACTTTGAAGTTGAAGCAGAGTTCCCTGAGAACGTTCTCAGCTTTACGGTTTCCCTCTTTGGAATGAATTACATTCTAAATATTAAGAACTTAAGATACTTAGATAGTTAGATTATGTGTTGACGTGTTGTTAAATTGTTAAGTATACAAGTTTAAATATGATGTGTGATGGTCTATGAAATGTCCATAGACCATCACAACATACACATTAATCTGGGTATATGTATGCTCTACGGTAGATGAAGGTCTACCATAATATTGTAGACCTTCAACAAAATAACTACTCAATATTTTTAATATAATACAGTATATTATATAATATATTAGTATATTAGTTAGTATTGTTAATTTAATAATATAATATATTAGCATATTATATTAATATAATACAGCATATTAATATAAATTATTCCATTAATAATTTATAATAAATTAATTACTTTATAATATAAAACATAAAATATTTTTCAAGTAATAAAATATTAACTACTTTGTATTTTTTAAATATTTATTAAAAATAAGAAAATGTTTATTAAATTTTATATAAATCATAATTTATTCTAAATTTAATATAAAAAATCAGAATAAATTTATTAAATTTTACACTAAATCATAATTTATTATAAATTTTATTATTAAAAAACATAATAAATTCATTAAGTTTTATAATAAATCATAATTTAGTAGAGTCTTAATACTGAAAAAAGGAGAATCAAATTGTTAATTTCTAATAAAACATAACGTATTATAACTTTAATATTTAAAAACATCAGAATAAATGTATTTTTATTTACTAGTGTGAAATAAATATATTAATCAGAATTAACAATAGGAAAAAACCAGCTAAAATTGTAGAAACATCAAAATGCATAATAAATCAGTATATAAGTTAAAACTTATTAAAATAAAATAGTATATTATTTAAATACATAAACAATATATTATTTATATTATATAATATATATTTAAGAACATTAATACCCATAATGTTAATATAAATTACTCATATTGACACGTAGTTTCTTAGCTTTATATAATGGTTGGGAATAAGATAATAGTCTATAAATGTGTATTAATGCTTCTTTTACCATTTTACAAAATATCATTGCATATTTTCACAATGTCTCTAATTTTTACAACATTTCCGACCTATGTCCTATATTTTGGTAAGCGACATTTCCATTGACATCGACATTTAAAACCTTGCTTAAGTAGAGAGGTAATTGCTAAATCACTTCGGAGTGTGCCACTTATAGAGTGGGAATAGGCCAACCCACTATATATACAAAATGGGACCCGTATTACATATGAAGAAACTTCCTTGTACTCTTCATATCATTGGATTTTATTTTAAAAATTTAAAGAACAATGAAGGGCAAAATCAAGTCACATGACAACACATGCAAATGGATTGTAATAGTGTGCTAACGGCAGGGGAGGATTTGGTTCATTGTCAATAAATCTTAAGGGCCTTTATGTTAGTTTTCAAACATTAAAGTAAGCTTTTGTCTATTTGCTTAGTCATATGGGTACTTTAAGTATTTAGTCTTAATTAAAAAATGTATCTCTATGATAGTGAAATGATTATTGTTATTTTAGCATGTTTTGTTTGGAGAAATTCGAGGTACTTTTGGTCAATTAGGGTCTACAAAAAAAAATAATAAATAACTGAGAGAAAAATCAAATAAGACGAGTTTAGGTGGGAATTTTGGTAAATTAATGCATTATATCACATGAATTAACAGCTAGGGGGTATTGCATTTAAGATGCAAGGCTTTGGGTGATCCGAGTTTGAGTCACCATGCCTGTACTCTTTTATAGAGAAACATTGTGTATCAATGTGTATGACTCATGGGATACATTTCTATTCGTAGCATATCCCATATTGGCATAAGTCGATACTGATACGATATGTCCCGTATCGAATGTATCGTGTCGATATTTAAATCTTTGGGCTAGAGTCTGGAGGTTCTAATGTTTACCTTCATATAGAGCCCATGCATTAACAAAACGTGGATGTGATGGGCGAGATATATAGGACCTTAGTAGGGCACATCCAAGTAATCTGAGTGGCACATTCAAAATGCTTGGAAGGTGCCTGGGGCCCACTTCCTTGCAAAGTGGGGTGTTTATGCGAACAAGTGGCAGTTAGCAATAAGGTTCAAAATATCGATACGTATTTGGCCGTATTGACGATATGTATCGTATCGGGGGCTTTTCGATATGCCCCTACAAAGGGTGTTTTGGAGTCCTAATCGATTCAAAGGGTGGAAGAACCTTAAATCGGCCCCTCTGAACCATATTCAAAAATATATAAACTAAGAAAAAAAAAAAAGCTATCGATACACCACTACCGGTGTATGTCAAGTTGGATGCATGCCCCTAAGGTCATAGGTATGCTAGGTTGGAGACGTGTCTTTAGGCGTAGGCATGTAACCCAATTTGGGATTATCATGGCTCGACTACTATTGGGTTACCTTGGGTCGAGTTGTCCGAGAGCCTTTGAGGTGTTTTTAAGCATCGCTCACATTGCCACGTGTCACAATGTTATTGGATGTCAATTTGACCCTCATCAATAGCAATATATATCAAAATTACAATACAAATTAAACATTAAATAACAACAAATGACACTAATTCCACTAATAAATCCATATACAACAAATATTAATAGAATAAAATTTTATATTTTTAAAATAAACATAGAAATGAAATCATATTTTTCATTTAGGTGGTGGGTAAGTAGTTCAATCATTTTGGTAAAATGGATAAATTCATGATTGTTATAAATGAATAATACAAATTTATTAATATAAAAAATACTTTTGTTTATCATCATTAAATTCCACTAATAAATCCATACACAATAATTATTAATAGTATGAAATTTTATATTTTTAAAATAAAGCTAGAAATGAAATCATATTTTTCAGCTAGGTAGTGCGTAAATAATTCAACCATTTGGGTCAAATGGATAATTTCATGATATCATAAATAACTAATATAAATTTATAAATATAAAAATACAAAAAAAACATAAAACAAAAATAAATTTTGAAATAAAAAATGGACACATTTCTATTATTATGTATTTGTGATATTAAAAAATAAGTATGATCTTAGACTGGATGGGGTTGGTCCAAAACCGGTCTATTGACACCCTTACTATACTTTTTCACTGTGGTAACCTCTTTACTAGCCAAAAGTGCTATATGATTTGTCTCAGTGGCCAGTTACTTTGGATAATGTCGACACACGTCATCACAACCGCGTCACGAAGAGGCCTCACGAGGAATAGATCTGGGTTAAATCGATTCCTCTCCTCTCCTGTCGCAGATTCACGCTATCTCCTCCCCGTTCGGCGGCAATCATCACCGCCGGTGACAAATAATCATCACCGGTTTTTTGCATCTCTTCTTCTTACATGAAAACTAACCCTAACCCTAATGGTTTTGGATGGCAACCATTCACCCGACGACGGCGACCGCACAACCATCACCGACGACAAACAACCAAGGCCATCAAGAAATCAAATCAAAGACATTGCTTTCTCTTCCAACCCTTGCAGCAGAGACCCTTCTGTTTCAGCCGGTGGACTCTTCGTCCTCATGTTCTCCATTGCCAGTGTTCAACATCGACCCCTCACAAGTACAGTCGTTCTTGCCTCCTAAATCTTGCTTGTCTTCGCTCCTCAATGTTGTCTGTAATAACCCTTTTGAGAATGGTTTCGATTTGGGCTGCGACCCAGGCTTTCTCGCGCCGTTGCAAGGGACCCAGAGTTCGGGCTCCCCTGTTTGCCTTGTTTTGGCGAACAGGGGAACCGGTGTCTTAGACTGCTGCCTTTGGCCGAGAACGGCTGTGCTGTCGGTGGCAGTTTCAGTTCGATTGGTTTTGGAGGTTTCAAAGGTTCTGCTAATAATTTGTTTCTGAATAGGTCTAAGGTTTTGAGGCCCCTGGAAATTTTCCCGCCTGTTGGAGCACAGCCCACTCTTTTCCAGAAGAGAGCTGTTATCCGGCAGAACTCTGCTGCAGCGGCGGGCAATTCGGTTTTGATGGATTCAGAAAGTCATCGTGTTTCAGTTAGTGTTGAGGAAAACAAGGGGAAGGCTGAGTTGGAGGAAGAGCAGGAGAAGAAGCAGCCCATCAAAGAACCGGAAGCTCAAGTGCCCAGTCAAGCGATGCAAGCAGATTCTAACATTCTCTAACACCACTACTTGCAAAATCTTCAACCAAAAGGTTTGTCTGAAGCACCGATTCCCGGCCGACCACTCCTGCAGGCAGTCCGTCGCCCACAGCGGAGGATCTTCCAAGAACAAGTTTTTGGTTGCTTTAGCCGCAAGGCACGGGCAAAATTGCGCTGGGGACATCAGTAATTCTTTTTTTTTTTAAGACATCAGTAATTCATCTTCTTCCTTGAATCACACCAGTAATTCATCTTCTTTCCGAAACTGCTCTCTCACCATTTATCAAAGCCCTTTAAATATTATTATTAATTTTTGAAGGCAACTATTATATTATTATTTACTATTCATAAGTTCATACTGTGGTATATTATGTATTTTATATGGCATTTTATTCGGTATTGCTGACTGCTGAGCATCCCACATCGGCTAGAAATGAAATGTTGAGAGGATGTGACTACTTATAAAAATAATTGGAGAAGGAAGGGAAAAACCATCTTTGCGCTTGGGGCAATGACGCAGCTAGTGAGGTTATAACTGAGGCGCGTCAATTGCTGGTTGAAAACTATTTCCAAACCCCCTCTTTGGCCTGGGTTTGGCCCTGGCCATTGAGAATTTCTGGAAGGGCTCCCTTTGGGGTAAAGCCCTACAATTTTATGTTTTCAAAATTTTTATTCCAGGTACAGGCCCGTGTTGTTGATGGTCTTTAACCGAGAGAGAGAGAGAATTGATAGTTGCCAAATTCCACATAAAGCATATCTGAAAGAGTGAGATACACAAAATATAACCTTGGTTCTCACAAGAGTTCTTAATGTGTCCAGCTGGTCTTAAAACAAATTGGTTCTACAACAAAAACGTAGAAAACATCTTCTTGGTTATGGGTATTTTTTTGGTTCCTAAAAAAAACTAACTTTCTGATTTAAAGGACATGCATCTAATCTGATTATTAGATATCATATTTTATACATTATATAACTTATATTTAAAAATTATTATTTAAATTTTTTTGATAAACAGTTATTTAGATGGTTTCAAAAAGGGATAGCAATGTGCTGCCAGGAAGGAAAACCCCATCCATACACAGAACCCTTCCTCCATCGGCGGTAAAGAGAGCTCCGGCGGCGACAAGGAGAACCCCTGTTCTTCTCTTTTCCATTCTACTTCTTCGACAAATAGCTCCGGTGGTAGGGTCTTCCATTATTCTTCTTCGTCTTCTCCTTCTTCTTCTTCTTACAAATGTAGTTCCAACAATCGACAGGTATCTCCAGACCCCCTCGTCATCTGCTCCAGCGTCTACTCAAAAACATTGATTATATAAAGCGATACTACACTTTCTCCGGTTCTCCCGCTCTCTCTCTCTCTCTCTAACGTTCTTTCGAACTTTCAGAGTTCCAATTCCAAGTTTCAAGCTTTTTTAATCATCTGGCAGAGAAACAGGATTCTACACACGAAAGCAAGTCAGCCATAAGAAACCCCACACCCGGAAACTCCTCGACAGAGATGCCCCCGGCCCCGGCGAGTCTCCGTCTCTTCCCCGAGATTACTACCTGGTCCCGCCACTAACCCCTGCCACCGCCTCGGCAACGACAGCTAGAAAACCCCTGCAACCCATGTCGACCTTCGATTCCTCCATGGCTCTAACGGTGGTGGTGCTCCTGACGGCTCTGTTCTTCATGGGTTTCCGCCGCTTCGCGGAGGAGAACGCCCTGGAACTGTTACGACGCCGGCGGCAGCAACGAAGAGCAGCAGCTTCAACCTCGTCGGCGTTGTGCCTGCGTGGCGTGGACCCCACAACTGTGAAATCCCTGCCAGGCTGCCGGTGTATGCATACGATGGGGAGTCGAAGGAGCCGATGGATTGCGCGGTGTGCCTAAGCGAGTTCAAGGAGAGGGAGCGTGAAGGACCCGGATCGGGTCGGACGGCCCAAATCAGGCAAAGCAAGTAGCATCGAACCATCCCACCTGGAATCCATTTCGGATTCGGATCGACCCGAATTGACACATGCTGGATTGGGTCACCCCGCATTGAAATGGTCTGAACTTGGATCAAATTGATTTGGATTTATGTTGGGTGAAATGTGTTGATTCAAAACAAAATTAAATTTAATTAATAATTAATAAAAAATTAATACATTAATGAATGAAGAAAATTAAAAAAAAGGTTTAGGAATTAATACTTATGTGTGTAATGGTTAAACCCCATTTACAATCGATCCCAACCCAACCTATTTAAATGAACAGATTGGGTGATAGATTAATCACACAACCCGCCAAATAAATGGGCAGATTAGATAATAGGTGGATTCAGCGGATTGGGTGAAAAATTGCCACCCCTAATGTTAGTGGTACCACCATTATGACCAGTGGGGTGAGGACAAAAAGCTACCGTTGGAGGTCAGGGGAAGAAAATCGAACAAATGAGGTTAACACCCCTTATGTTGCAACCAGTTTGTGCTCGATTGAACCGATTAGACCATGTTAACGTGCATTTGACCGTTAACAGGTTCATGCGTCCAGTGCACCCATGGGTGCACAGAACGCGCACTCCATTAGTTATACTCTTTTCCGGTAGGCGGTAGCATGGTTGATCACTTCGAAAACATGTATTATTTTGGAAAACTTGCTTTTGATTTTTAGAACAAAAATAGTTAAGAGTGCTTTTATTTATAGCTTTGGGAATATCAGAAACAAATGGAAGCAAATACTTTTCATGTTTTAGAACAGCGCCTTAGAGAGAATTGAGATTTTCTGCCAACATAACATGTTCTAACCTTCTGGATCTAACATCACATATCTCATCATGAGACTGAGACCCACCATAAAAGTGGGACCTGCCATGTATGATATGTGCGGTGTACGATCACATTGGTAGAGGGGTTGGAACGTATTTTGTTGGCAGGTGAACTGGGCTCCCTTTGGAGAATGATTGATAGAGCCATAAAGGGGCGCAACCGCTGCAACAGTCCTCAATTTTGAGATTGAAATCAACCCTTGCAACACTGTTCTCACTTTTGAGCCTAAGGCTCAGTTTAGAATGAGTAAAAATACAAATAAGTAGGGTGCAAAACCTTGTATTTTGTATGTATTTGTGCTATACATATTTGTATTTGTATTCTTTCCAAGTTAAGCCTATATTTGTACTCCTTCCAAACTGAGCCTTAATTTCGTTCAAGCAATCGAGAGAGGGGGGGGGGTGTCCAATTCCGAAAATAGAAAGGAATTCTAAGATTCTATATTTCAATTTTCAAGACTCATGGGCTACCTTAAACCTAAATATCAGAAAGAGATAACAAGGGATTAATGATTAATCTGATTTACATGATTCTTAAAAATGGGGTTCCCATCATACATCCACAAGCTACAGCTTCTCTATTGCCATCCAAATTTGTTGTCAACTTTCATGGTTGTCGTTTAGTACGAGGCAATACAGAAAGGAGAATCTTCTTCCTTGGACCCTGCAACAAGTGACTATTAGAATAATTGGGTTGAACAATGAACCAATGAATTATAAATTTCATGGTAATGGCTCACGAAAGGCACTTGCAGACCTTAACTGCTGACTTTGTAAAATACAACTTTCAGGTAAATTCTACAACGACCAAACCAAAAGAAAGTAGCAACCATAAATCGTTCTTGGTAAGAATTGTCCTCTGCAAATAACAGAGTATCCATTCAAATGCTTCAAAATTCAAATTGCTCCTACAAAGCTAACCCTACATTAAGATTTTCCTGCTGAAAAACTAATCATGATTGGATGATTGCTACAACTAACAACAGGTTAATGATTTTGGGGTTTTTATTGTTCAGTCCACCTCAGAAATCCACCGTACAGGTGGGATGAATCCTGGCCGTGGATCGATGCCAAATCCATGGGCAGGATGCGGTTTATTGGGGGAGGGGGGGGAGCTACTAGGAGGGGGCTGTAATTTCAGATTTCTGAGGTGGAGTGCAGTCTACTTATCCCAAAGATTTTTCTGCTGGAAAACTAATCATGATTGGATGATTGTTACAATCAACACCGGGTTAACTTTTAACATCACACAAACGATTTCCTGCTAAAAGAAGAGCATTGTAGTTTTGCAGGTAATTCTGCTACATGACGCTTTATGCTGTCAAAGAGGCAGGTGACTGTCACATGTGGATACAAGTAAAAAGGAAAAAAGATATGCTGCATTGGGATTAGGCAAGTTTGACATCACACAAATGGTTTCCTGCTAAAAGAGGAGCAATGTAGTTTTGCAGGTGATTCTGCCACATGACGCTTTATGCTGTCAAAGAAGCAGGTGACACTGTCACATGTGGATACAATCATACAAGTAAAAAGGAAAAAAGATATGCTGCAACGGGACTAGGCAAGTTTGATACAATCCCAACAGTATGGTGGGTAGCATCAAGATATTGTTCTGCATAGAGCCATCAGATAGATGGAGTCCACCTGGCCCAATTTAAATCACCCAAATATTAAATTGATATTTGGTTTCCAATTTAAGCAAGTAAATTTAGTCTAAAACAATGGTGTGAAAACCAAATTGGACTGGCTAGTGAACTGGTTCAACCAGAGTCAAATCCCCTTTCCAGTTCAATGAAAACTTGGAATAGCCTTGAACCAGGAAAATGGGATTGATCTACATCCCTGGACCGTTTTTCAAACAATCATTTATGTACTACGAAATAAAACTCTGAGATGAACATCCGTACCATTGGTACTTATCCAAAAAAAAAAAAAAAATCCATACCATTGGTATACCCAGCTCCTTGAGGTCATTGTCTCCCATCTGCTTCAGTGCAGTCATGTCCACCTACATATTAGATAGTAGTATGACAGATGTCAGCCAGGCCCAAAATCAATCCTAAAGAATATTATCAAATGTTGCATCAACTTAAGTGTGTCAGTGTTGGAGGAAAGGATGTAGATCAACAGAGATGACAGTGTTGGGCTAATGGGTGGCCAATTGGAGAACATGATAATGTTGTTCTAACTATATGGCATTGGCTAGTTGAATCCTGTTTCACGATTCTGTTCTGTTTAGTGTCATATCCATTGTTAAATTATGAGAGTTTAAATCCATATTGTTTCTGGTCTGCTCCTAGTTCTTCTAGCCCCCTCAACTTGCAATATATGCTAAGTGAATATTTATTAAAAACATCAAAGAGATGTTGCTCCAATATGATAACCAGGGTCCTACTACTATCATTATTAGAATGCATCTTTCTTCAATGGTCTGAGTCGTCTGACCATTGTCCACGAAATAGGTCAAGCAGTCTGGTTTAACCATCCTGGTCAACAGATTTCCGACCAAACCAATAGTTTTTGTGCTCATTTAGACAGGTTTGAGGTTGGTCCAAGCTCCCCTCTTGGCTGGATGTTGAAAGTTGGATCATGTGGGTCAACAAGGGATTGATTGGTTTTAAGCACGGAATCAAGGATTCAAGGGGCAAACAAATTTAACTATCATTTCTGTTAGCATGTAAATGTATGTATGAACAACAAAAATATCCTCTAATTTGAGTACAAGGAAGATGTTCAAATTGGACTATTAACAACATGGACATTAACAATGTGACTTGTAGGTTTTGTGGGACAGGATTAAGAAAAAGAAGTCTTAAATTCTGTGCCATGCATTCACTTCATGTTGTCAGATAGGAGTGCAAGTTTAAGAACCCATTTTGACTAGACCAAGTTCCCTCATACCCATGGTATTTCTGTTGGGGAAAGGAGCAAGATAACACAAAAGTTCAAAGAATTTATCAAGTCTGGATTGATGAACATAAGAATCAACAATAACCAAATCACTTAGCTTCTAACAGCTACCAAGCTTGCAAAGGTAAAATTTAGAAACAAGATAAGGGTCCCTTGCTCTCTATAGATCATAGGATCCTTTCACCCTCTATAGCCTTTATGTTGATCCCCTATACCATAAAGGCTGCTTTGAAATGTTTCCATAACCTCTTTAAGGTTGTATCCCAAGCTAGACGCTGCACAACAATCAACTACAGTAGATTGATCTCTTCCACGCCATTCCCTATCAATAACTATTCTCTTAAAAAGCCTCTAGCAACAATGAAAATGAAAGTTTAAACATCTATTTGTCTCCATTAATCACTTGGCCTCCATAATTTTTCTTCCCAAGTATGGTGTGAACCTCAAAATATACCTTCAAAACAAAGAAGAGTTGCATTCAAGCAAGAATCCAGATCAGTTAGGTTATTGCACAGCAATTGGCTTTTCAACCCAGGATTATCTAACCACCAGAAAATTTTGAGGGTCTGGAAAAATGTTTTGGACATTATAAAGGGAACTTGCTTGTTCCATTTCAAATGAATCCCAAAGGGCATTTCATGCTACACTTAATTCTTGTTCATCTTTTTGCTTTTGCTCACATGGCCCTTTCTTGAACATCTTCTCATGCAGACCCTTCCCTTTTTTGATAATTGAATACAAGTTTAACTATTCTCCAAAAAAAGAAAGTCTCTGTACATGACAATTCCACCATGGTTCGCTGCTCGATGAACAAATAATTGAGTAAAACTAGTGAAATGGAAACTTCTTTACTTTCTAATTCATTGGGAAAACTAACTTATATTTTGAAGTTAATTGTTGGTACTGAAAGAAAGACAAACTAGAACAAAAAAGATCAAATCATATGCAAAGAATACCAAATTTCACACATTTGGGGGGGGTAAAGAACAGTTGGCTCACTTCCTCAGCTTGAAAGATAATGGCATATTTCCCTAGACCCAGGGAATGCAACAGGCTAGCAACAGTAAGTGGTTCCTCCCCCTGCATAAGAAACATCACAAACACATGAAGAGATCTAATCTTTGACAAACGAAAATATAACTATAAAACACCACAGACAACCCTTAAAGCATATTAATAGTTCTACAGGTTTGTGAACAAACTATGAAATGGGTAAGGTGATACTCTTACAGAAATACTGAGCATTAGAGCAAAACGTAAAACAATTCCATAGAATACATTGCACATTCTTAGAGAGAATTGATAAAAAAAAAATACTGAGTATTAGAGCATCCAAAAATTGACCAGCAAAGCATAATGATTAAATATCAATTCTCAAATGAATAACCACCATATAAGTAAACTCCAGTAAACTACATGTAATTATTTCCAGTATTTCACCTTATTAATACAAGTTCAAACCCATGATTGCCTCCCTTCTCTTGCAAATAGAATTCAAAATAATTCAAAGTTACACTTTTCTTCCATAACTGCTTGCTCATGTTAGTTTGGTCGATGACATTTTGCAACTTCTCTTACAAACTTCTGGCCTGTCAAACATTTGTGATTTTGTTGACACAACTCTTGTGTCAATATGTGTCAAACGGATTATTGGATGCATATAGATATACTACCATCTATTGATTAAAAAAAAAAGATATACTAGCATCATTTAATTCTTAAATAAACACAGATAAAGGTGTGGAATTCACAGTTTAATTCCAAGCTGCTACATTTAGGTCTTTTCATAAAATTGGGGAAATATAAATCACAAAATGAAATATGCATATACAATCCAACTTCCATGCATGTGCATATATGCATATGTATAGCCGTCTCCTGCTTCTGGATTTCATGAAATTTAACGTGTCCAACAGCCCTGTGTACATTGGTGACTGACCCTTGTGTCCATATCCACAGATAAGATGTATTGCTAATGATAACTAGACATTTATGCTGACACACACAGATGTGAGAAATGGGGATAAGACTCCGCTTCCTAACTTCAGACACCGCAACAGGAATGGATATTCCATATAATATCCCTATATCATGCTTATATATCTTGTTTTTGAAGCTATAACTGTCATTTATCTTTTTTGAGAGAAAGGTAAAGTATTTCATTAATAACAGAACATGTACTTAATAATTAATGATTGCCCAGTAAGGTACTGGTCAAAACAAACAGAACCTTGTACTACCCAGCCAAAAAAACCTCTATTTCATGAAATCATACAAAAAGATTACAGTGCTCAAAAAGAGAGGGTATATTCTTGAATAACTCGTGTGTCACCACCCATGAGTATATTCTGCTCCAACTGCCTTTTAAAACTAAATATTCAGAACTGATCTTGTCTTCAAAATGCCTCATGTTTCTTTCCTTCCAAATTGACCACAGCACTGCTGCTGGAATTACCCCCCAAACAATCCTTTCCTTGACAAACCACCCAAGTTCCAGCTCCTTAGTATAGCCAACAAATCCCTAGGGAAACACATCTGAACTCCAAACACCCTCAGAGATTTCATCCATGTTTCCCAAGTGAAGCTACAGTTCACAAAAAGATGCTCCACCCCCTCAGAATTGTTGCCACAGAGCAAGCATCAGACAGGTTCCACCACCATCCCTCTTTTTGATAAATTATCAGCTGTTAAGCACTTCCCCAAGGCGGTCACCCATAAAAAGAAAGAGACTTTAAGGGGAGCAACCAATCTCCAGTCCTTATCTTCAGGAAAGGAAACCTCCTCATCATTGCATGGTCTGCAATAAAAAGATTTGACCGTAAAGTTTCCTGATTCCTCCCCTAATCAAATTCTCTTATCCCTCCTTGCACCGTCCACCTAACTGTATTTAAGATTTGCATCAATTCTTCCCAGTGCTCCGTTTCCCAATCATTGACATTCCTTGTGAAAGTAGGGCATCAAACTCCCACACCCCCTTCCTGAGAACTCCTCGGATACCACACAGTCCTTATTAAGAGTGATTTCAAATAATGATGGGAATCTATCCTTGAGAGTGCTGCTTCCACACTACTTCTAACTTTATCCCTTGCTTGAAATCCCTTTCTTATTTCTGTATACCCCCCCCTCCACACTGCACATCCACAAGAAAGTTTTGATCCACCCAGTTCCCAATTTGAATTTCTAGCCCCATATATAACCCCAATTACTCTTTTCCGCTGACTAGTGTGTTGTTCATTCCATCTCCAATACCACTTCCCTAGGCAAACCACATTGAAATTTCTAATTTTTCTTATCCCACACCCTCCTGCCTTTCTTGGCCTGCAAACTTTATTCCAGTTGACTAAATGCAACTTGAACTCTTCCTTCCACTCTTGCCACAGAAAGTCCCTCAATTTCTTCTCCAAAGCCTTAGCTATACTGGCTCGAATGGGGAAGAGGGCAACAAATACGTGGGGAGTGAGGACAGAACACTTTTGGTTAGTGTTAGTTTTTCCCCCTTCGACAAATACCTTGATTTCCAGGATGCTAGTCTCCTCTCCAATTTTTTCCATTTCTGGTTCCCAAATCTTCTTGGATGTGCATTTCTCTCCAAGTGGCATTCCCAAATATATAGTCGGCAATCTCCCAATTTGCAGCCCACTATTTCCACCAAAAAGCCTATGTTATGACCATCATCCACTGCAAAAATTTTACTCTTATGATGCATGTTGACTTTAAGTCCAGATACCACTTCAAACCAGATTAGTATCAGTCTAAATATTTCCATCTGATCTTGAGAGGCATTGACAAAAATCAATGTATCATCTGCATAATACAACAAAGCTATCTCAACTTCCTCTCCCACCCTAAAACCTTCTATGAAGCCACCTTCACCGCTCTGTTCACCATTGTGCTGAGGACTTCTGTTATGCAAATAAGAAGCAGGGGCTATGAGGGATCACCTTGTCTTAAATCTTAATCCCTTGGAACTATGAAATCTTCCTGCAGGACTACCATTTACCAAAACTGAGAAAGTTGCTGTAGATACACACCTTTATCCAATACCTCCATATCCTGCCAAAGTTCAATCTCTCATGCATATACCCCCTCTTCTCCACTTCTCCTGGAATCAATCAACTCATTTACCATTAGAACCCCATCAATGATCTGCTTCCTGTCAACAAAAGCACCCTGAGACTCTAAGATCAAATCCCCCCGCCCTCCCTCCCAATCTTCTTTGATAGCACCTTCACTAGCACTTTGTACACACTGCTAACTAGGCTTATTGGCATGAAGTCTTTCAAACCTACCACCCCTTTCTTCTTGGGAATCAAAGACAAAAAAGTAGAGTTCAGACTTCTTTCCAAAGCCCCATTCTGATGAAACTCATGAAACACCTTCATTAGGTCCTCCTTGATAAAGCTCCAACATCTTTTAAAGAATTCCATTATGAACCATCCGGCTCAGGTGCTTTATCACCTTCCATTTCCTCAATTGCACTGCACACCTCCTCTTCTAAAAATTCTACTTCTAGTTGACTGGCCTCTATTTGAGATAAGCTCTTAAAACCTAAACCATCCAACTTCTGTCCCCTTCAATCACCTCCCTTCTTCCAACCTTTTGATAGTATATAGTGACTATAGTCTAAGTTTGGGAGTGCTTAAAAATAAGCGCTTATTCATATAAGCACTTATTTTGGGCTGGGACCACACCAATAAGTGCTTATTTGCTTTGGGAAATAAGCCTGAATAGGCGCTTATTCTAATTTTGGGCTTATTTTTAAGTGCTGATTTCCTTTCTGACTTACTTGGCCTGCCACATCATTTTGAAAATACCTATACTGCCCCTGTTTGAAATAAGTGCTTTTTCACAATTCACCAGATGGTCAATAAGCACTTGTTTTTCAAATAAACATTCCCAAGCTCTGCCTTAGTCTTCTTCTCCCATTAGCCATTTTATGAAAGAAGTTGTGTTTTTGTCCCCCTGTTTCAGCCACAAGCACTTAGAATGTTGCCGCCACTTAATCTCTTTTTGTAGCACACCTTGTCAACATCCAATTTCACCTTTGGCCCTTCTTTGCTTCTCTTCTTCCAAAATTGCCCTCGGTTCTTAGGCTCTATCAACCTCCAACAATTTCTTTGAGGTAATCATTCTTCTTTGCTTCTAAGCCTTTGAAATTCTGTCTACTCCATGATTTCAATTTAGACTTCACATAAATTAGCTTCTTGCTGAACACATGACTTGTTGTCCTTGTAACAAAACATTCCTCCCACCATATTTTAAAACATGCAAAATGTCCTCCTCTTCCAGCCATATATGCTTGAATCTTAAGGGTGGGTTCTTAGCAAAAGCTAATCTTTTGCAATCCAGCAAGATTGGTGAGTGATCTGACAAAGGGTAGAGCAAAGCTTCTTGAGACAGCTTGGAGAAGCTATCTTCCCAGCCAGTGGAGACCACAAACCTGTCCAATTTCTCTAGCACTGGTTCCTCCTGATTATTAGTCCATGTGAATCTATCTCCAACTAAAGGTAAACCAACCAAATCCCACCTTCTCGTGAACTGTGAAAAACCAAGTCCACCTCTGCATCTTCTGTTACCACCACTCTTCTCTGATGAGAACCTGACTGTGTTGAAATCTGCCCCAATAACCCAAGGAAACTCTCAAACCTCTCTAATCCCATCCAATTCAGATCACAATTCCCTTCTTCTATCTTCCGTTGGACAAGGTTCTCTGATGAGAACTTGATTCTCAATTGTTTGGAAGAGGATTGAAATTGAGAACAACACTTTTACCACCTCTGAACCACAAGGGTGCTTAGTCCCAGATAATGGCCATACCCTCTGTAGTGCCCTTGGCTGGAAATGCTCCCCACTCATAGTCCCCCCCCTCTGAACAAACCTTTTCACCACCTCACCAGACAATCTTCCATCTTTGTTTCCTGAATGGACAGAACAGATGGATTCCAATTCATAATCCCCTGCCACCACTCTTCTGCAACCTGAACTTGGAACCCTAATATCCCAAGAAATTATTTTTAAAATGTCCATCTTTTCTTTTCTTCTTTTTCAGTATTCCTTTTTCTTTTCTTTTTTCTAGTTCTTTCTTCTGAATAAACTCTGAAAGACTACCACCTGGATTTCTTGCTTGACTAAGCCGAACTATCAGCCTTGTCATTCAAGCCCCAGGACAACCTAAAGAGTTCTCTGTTGGTTCTTCTCCCTTTCCTCCCTCTTTCCTCTCTTATTTCCATTTCATTCAAAAGGTTAATAGTTGCCGACTCTATGCCCTTAATCAACACTCCCAGGAATTCTCCAATGGTCAGTAGCTTCAGCCTTCAAGTGAACCCAGGGGGACATACCTTCATTTCTGACCATATCTCTGGTTATGCCCAAAACAAAGATTGTTGTGTTGATCATGCTCAAAAGCACCCCCATTTTCCTGCCGGTTCCATTGCAATCGGCCATATCTCTTGTGAAGGGCCTTCTTCCGTCAACTCCCCCACTTCACACACGATCAAGACTTGTCCTTGCGATGCCAACTACTTAGCACACTCAACCGAATTGACTGAGGAAGACACACCAATTAGCGATTGTGGATTAGTTGAAAGAGTGCCCTGCATCTCCTCTCTCGATGACACAATAACATGAGCTTCCAACTCTTTCTGGTTTGTAAAACTCGCATGGCTTCCTGCATCAAAAAAGATGCCTCCTCTTTTCAAAGTCAAGGCTTGTAAGGCCTGACCTGACTCGGAGATTCCTTCTACCCAACCCAGGTTCAAAACACCTCTATATTCTAAGATCCCCCCATGCCCTTTGAGCCCTTGCTTTGTCCTCAACTTTTGAGAGACATGGCCCCCAAACGACCTCCTAAAGCCCACCCCCTACTCTAGGATCGATGATGTTGATTTCTTCTCTCCTCTCCTCTTGACCCACCACAAACCCCAACTTCTCTAAACATCTTTCCACTGCTTGCTCTAGTTTTTGTTCTTCCACCAAATTTAAAATTTGAATTCCCTTGTTATTTTTCTCTTGACTATCAATCGCCATAATGGCAATGGTAGGCCATGGACAGCCGAGATCGTTCTCCTTCCAACTGCCCTGAAACTCCCACATGCCCTATGCCTACAACTTCCACGTGTTCTTGCTGAACCTCCAAACTACTCTTCCTTTCCTTTGTCTTCCCCAGATTTGGCGAGCAGTACCAGCACCGTTTGAAAGTCCTCTCCCTGACCTCCCCTTTCCACCAAATCTTCCTTTCCTATTAATCTTCTTCGCATCTCCTCTAAAATACTCTCCCCTGCTAAAGAATTAAGAATCTATCCTATGCTACAATGGCTTCAAGGAAATCCATCATAGGTTCCCCAATCTCCGGGTGGAATTCTGGACAAATGGCCAATACATTGATCACATTCACTGCTGCCGGTGGGAAACCTCCCCACTTTGTTGTAACTCTGATCCATTCAACTGCATCTTTTACTTCAATTGTATTGTCTATCTCCATATACCCACCACTGTTCACATATCTTCTTCACCAAGCCCACACTCCATAGGTGCTATAGGAGTCCAAAAATCCAAAACAGAATTCATTAGGATCTCCTCTTCCTTCCACCAACACCCCTTAGTTTTTTCCCAAGAGTAGAGATGTTAGAGAGAACCCCCCACATTTCTTGCACTTGTCTTTAGAATTCTACCTACTTCTCCCATAGATGGGAGTATGAAGAGGAATTTCTTTCTAGCCAGCTTTCTAACTCTCACACCTAGAGTCATATTCTAGTACCTCGCCACTCACCTTTGCAACTTGCTGACTAAGAATGTGGTTTCCACCACCCACACCGAGCAAGCTTCCAAATATCTCTTTTTGCTTCACTTTGACCATCCAGTACTAAACAAAAGCATGTGGATTCAGTACCGACTTTTATGACCATTCTAATAATTTTGCCTTTTCAATGAAGGTACCTCACTATCTGCCTACTACATTTGAACCAGCTTCCCTCAGAGAAACTCTCTCTACCAGATTTTCTTCTCTCTTACCCCACCACCTACAGTTTCCAGCCTTTTCTTTCCAATTGACTAACACCTCCCTCCTCGTCCCAAACCCTCCATGGCTTGCAACATCCAAGGTTTAAAATGTCGATGTCGATGGAAATGTYGCTTACCAAAATATAGGACATATGTCGGAAATGTCGGAAATGTCGAGGGGAAATATTGTAAAAATTAGAGACATTGTGGAAATATTATGAAATRTGTGGAAATATGCAAWGATATTTTGTAAAATGATAAAAGAAGCATTAATACATATTTCTAGACTATTATCTTATTCCCAACCATTATATAAAGCTAAGAAACTAAGATCAATAACAAATTAGTAAATGACGAYTTAATGATTTATTATGCATTTTTATGTTTACACAAGGTTATCTGATATTTTCTTTTCCTATTTTTAATTCTGATTTATTATAAATTCTAATATAATTATTTCACACTAGTAAATAGAAATACATTTATTCTGATTTTTTTAAATATTAAAGTTATAATACATTATGTTTTATTATAAATTTAATAAACCAATTCTCCTTTTTGTAGTACTAAGATTATGATAAATTCTGATTTCTTATAAAACTTAATGAATTTATTATGATTTTTAATACTAAATTTATAATAAATTATGATTTAG